TCTTCTATTTTCTCTGTATTTATCCTTTTCCTCCCTGTGTTTGGATATGCCATACATTTTAGTTTTCACCAGGATTTTTTTTTTTTTTTTCCTCTTCTTGTGTTTTTCTTACTCTTTGGATTGCTTTGTCCAGTACCTCTGCTTTGTTTGATGTCAGACTTGCTCCTCTTTACTTCACTTTACCAAAACCAAAAGACCAATGTCATCCATATCAAGGTCTGTGTCTTGGAAACTTCATTTCCTTTATTTTTACTTATTGATTCTGTGCTCATGGGCTTGCCCAGCCCCTCACACATTCCCTGTGCTCTGCTCCAGCTATGCCTTTTCCTGGCTGATGTCCCCTGTCCCCTCCTTTTCTCCCAGGATGTCTCTTGGCTCGCCAGTCCTGGATCTCCACGATTGCTGCCCAGCTTCATCAATAATGAATGATTCTTCAGTGGCCTCTTTTAACAGCTATTTTCTAGCAATCATTGCAGGCAGGCAAGAATCCATCTTTCACCTCTTGCTATAAGTCCTAAATTTTTTCAAAAAATATTAAAGTGCTGCTTCAACTTCTGAGGATTTTGTGCCATTTCCCACCTTTTCCCATCTGATATGAGGATGATTGTGGGGAATGGGGATGCAGGAGGAGCTGCAGCCGGTGTGAACTCCTTGGATTTAAGGCACTGTACAAAGTGAAATATTACTATGTGCCCACACAATTTGGGATTCTCTCCTGCTGAAAACCTTCCATGCTAAATGTCCTAAGATTAAGATTGTTTTTAGCTGGGCTTAATTGTAATAGTTTCAGAATGTGTAGCACCTTAATGGTGGGACTTAATGGTTTTCAAAGTCCTGTCCAGCCCAGATGATTCTGTCATTCACAGGGCTGTGGCTTTCACAAGCATTACATAGCATTTGTGGAGTGTTTTCTCAAATATTAAGACTTTTTCCCCTGGTCTTGCACTTTTTTAAAACTGATAAATGCATTAACCCCAGCTTTTAATATATTTTTTAATAGACTGCACTCATTTTTCCCCTTTGAACAAGTTCTTCTGCTTTTTCACAACTCTTCCACTTTCTAATTGCATTGCTAGATGTGCCTTCCTCCAAATCCTAAATAAATGTGATTATCACCATGTAGGATAAGTTTACATATACTTAAAAAATTAAACTAAAGTCAGAGAAGACCATATGGGTCTCTTACTGAATTTCACCCAAATTTAAGAGATGAATATTCATTGAAAAATGTAAAGGGCCAAATTCTCTATTTTTTTTTTTTTAATTTATTTTTAATAGTGTGTTTCCCATCACTGGTGAGATGTGGGTGAGAATAAGTCAAGTTTAGGTGGTCTCCATGTACTTTGCTTCCAGTCCCAGAAATGGGTAAGGCTTGAGGGCTCAGGCTGAATTCCCAAAATCCCTGCAGAGCAGACGGGTGTTCTGGAGAATGTTGCCATTGATTGTATAGAGGAGCATCATCATAGTGCTATGAGGTTGCTTTTTAAAATCACTTTAGGCTGAAAAGTGGGATGTCAAGTCATCAATTAATTCTGACAGCATCCTTCTGTGGTGAAAAAATAATATTGTCACCCCCATTTTATGAGCAGAAAATCTAAGGCAGAGATAATAATGGAGGCTCAGTAGTGGTGCTGCTGCTCCCACCACACTCCCATTCCCTGTTCAAGGACACTTCTCAAAGTTTTAGATGAGATTTATATGAGATTGCAAAGGGAAGTCACTAAATCAGGATGAACCCTGGGCTGCATCCCCCCACCCAGATCACAAAACCTCAGCCAGTTCCTAAACCAGACTTCAGACATCTCTCTTAAATTGTGGGTTAGAGTCAATAATAAAAAATCCTGGATAAAAATGAGAGCTGAGTAGTACTTGAATATGGAGATTGAATGTCTCCAAGGCAGGGCTCTCAAATCTGAGTGTAGGTGTGGTGTCTGTGCCTGTTTTGTGGAATTACAGCTGTAGTTTGGTCATTCTGATGTTTTCATGTTCTTAGGATGAAATTTAGAGCATCTTCATACCATGCCCGTTTCTTATTTTTACTTTACCAGATGCATATCAAATCAAATGAAAATACAAAAGCGTTTCAAATACCTCAGCTAAACAACAAAGCCAGACCCTGGAGTCACATTAGCTTGATTTTTTCCCCAAACATAATATCTTAAAAGAAAAGTTTGCATTTTAATATCAGGCTTTTATACTGTTTTGCAGTTCTTCTTCAGGAAATGGAGTATATATAATTAATACAGTTTAATAAAGCTCAAAAATGCAACAGATGCAGCCAAAAGTGCACATCATTTTGAGCAGATCTTTACAGAACAGACATTCCATATTGTGTTCATCTTTTTCCACGATCACTGCTATGGCAATCTGGTGTGTTTAGCAGTTGTTGCTGAGTAAGGCAGACTGGATTGTATATGATTTTCTCCATGTCAGCCAAGAAACAGAGCTCTCTCCTTTTTGATGCAGCAAAGAGGTGGTCTTGTACTATTTGTTTGTTTCAACCAGGAGCAGCTAATACCTTCAGTATCCTGCAAGAATAATAATAATAATACACTGCAGTCTGTAGTTGCATGGGCCAGGAGGTTTCTGGAGATTTTAACTGAAAATAAAATGCTTGTGGTGTGGAGAAGTCGCAGGAACTGATAAAATCACTTAAGATGAGCTCCCAAATAGAAAAGCTACAAGATTTACAAAATGTGTCATTAAAATCTGGGAGTGTCACCTAAAAGGGAAACATTTTATACTGGAGGATGGAAGGAGGTTCACCTACAGCAGAAAACCCGCAAGGGAGGCTCCAGTGCAGAGGAAACGTTTCCCCTTTCAGCATTCTTTCTGGGTGCCAAATTTTCCTTCTGTTCTTCCCCACCTATTAAACAAAGCTGCAACTTCCAATTCCTATCAGTTTTCCTAAATATGTGCAGCTTATGTGGCTTCGCCGAGCTGTAAGGCTCCGTGTTCTCCTGCCAGCTCCTTGACAATGTGGCTCCAACAGCATCCTCCACTTTTGGCTGCCTCTGGGACCCCTGGTCTCTTCTGGAAAGCGAGAGGGAAAGCATATCCTTTGCTGGAAGGACTTTTTGTGACTGTGAAGCTGATAGCGGGGCTGTGAAGAGCTTGGAAAGATCCCTGTCAGCGTCGTGGCTGTCGAGTCTGCCGGCTCCGCGCGCGGGGACGCGCCGGTCCGCCGGGATGAGCTGAGCTGAGCCAGGGTGGGCTCGTGGCATCACTCACAAAGAACCCACAAAAGCATGTCCAGGGGAAACTGAGGCTCAGGGCAAATTCTGTCATGAATTTCACCAACTCCCAGCATTGTAGAAGTTTTCCTTGCAAGCGTTCGTAATGGGGATGTTCTCTTCCAGCCAAATCCGAATCCATGCGATCCCGTGTTGGCTCTTCGAGCTGGGCATTTGGAGGGAACTCAATACTGGCAAAAAATTCTGCACAGAAGTTACCTACCAGAAACAGGTGGCTCTTTTAAGCATGAGGATGCAGCAAACTAATGGTCAGAGATCTGGGATCTTTGCAATTGTGAGAAATCCACCCTCCAAACCAGTGCTTGTATCCACTTGGGTTACTGGAATTGCTGTGGAAACTCCTGGTTCACAGATGTGAAACAAATTACAAGGCTTATGCAGTTGCATTCCTCCTTATTATTGGGAACAAAACAAATTGGGGGGGATGGAGGACTTCTTAAAGTGATTATTGTCTGGCTTTATTTTAAGAAAATGTGACTAATTCTGAAAACTCCACAATTCCTGGAGGTTTCTCAGCCTAGGGAAGTCACATTAATTATAAGATTAATTTATTTTAATTCCCTAAACCAAAAATATTGACTGAATGAGAAATTAACACGTGTAGAGCTGCAGATGTCATTTGGCTTCAGATTTCCTGAATGATATAATTATTAATCTTTCATATGGTAGTGTGAGAGACCTACAGATTTCATTCTGCAAAATTACTCTGTGAAGAAAGACACCAGGACAGCTGAGATATAGATTTTTCCCTTAATACAGGAAGGAAAACGGTGGAATTTGCTAAATAATAAATAAAACCAAAATATTTTAAAGGCATATGGTGCACATCTGTTGAAATACAATAATTTAAAGCAGAGTAATTAAGTGCAAGATATAATATTCACCTTAGAGTGAGGAAATTATCTCATTCTATTTTTAATATAACTTAAGGAATTTGGGAATTTTAAATGATTTGTGATACCTTTTGAACCTTTAATTTTCTGCTAGTAAAGAAAATAGATTTGAAAATTGGGGGTTTAATTTATTTTTATATAACCTAATTTGCGTTTCATATCATTGAGTGTCATACCCATATAAACATTTAATATTGTCTTCAACTGAAATTACAAATAAGTACAAGTTTGTTATATTTTAATTTCCAGCTAACTCCTTAAAAATCTAAAGGTAGAAAATTTGTGGTAAGTGGGTAATGGTAATGTAATGTTTGGGCCTTGTGGTAGTTTATTCCTTTCTTTACCTAAAGCACTGAATAGATTGGAATCTTTTCATGAGTATAGCATGGATTCCTAAATTCCAGTTTGAGAAATCCTGTAGGTTTAGGAGAAGTTTTTGTTTAACATGTTTCTTCTGGGAAAAAAAAAATGTAATGGAAGTCATACATGTATTTTTTTGGACAGGGGAAAAAAACCCAAAACCTATTTTTTTCCTACCCATTTTTTAACTTGATTTTGCCTTCAGGTAGGTACTCAGTCCTTCTCACTTTCGTAGCTGGTAATTTGAAGAGTAAATGAATTGTTTGAGGACAGGGAAGAGAGAGAAAAGAATCTGATGAAACTGAGTTTTGACCCCAAGTGCTGCATTGAGGAAAATTTTCAGCACGCAGGAGAAGCAGAGGGAAATTATTTGAATAAATTTAGTCCCCAAATGTACAATTATAGAGGAATAGTGTTCTGATAAATAAAAAAACCTCCTATAATTTCACAACTAAATGTAAAGAATGCTGAGATAATTTCTGTTTGTTTTAAGGGAACATGACAAAGATCCTGAAACTTTCTTTAAAGTCCTGATGAAGCTGAAAGAGCAGGATCTGCCTTTCCATGTGTCTGTCCTTGGAGAGACTTTCAGTGAAATTCCAGGTACCTTTCCTTTTTTTTTTTTTACTTTAAAATTACCATATAGTAGATACTTCTAGAAGTAGTTCTCATTTATGTATTTTTTTTATCTTAAAGAATGTGTTTAAAATTTTCCTAGTTGTGAAACTAAATAATAGTGATACATTGTAAAATTAAAATTATTTTTAAAAAAGTAAGCGTGTTCTATTTTACTTGGAAGTGCAAGACTTTATTTATGACTTGTGGTTCAGTAACACTTCTGTATTTATTTAAATAGAGATAGGTGTGGGTGATTGGATGGTTCAGATAGGAAGAAAAATCTTTCAGGTCAAGGTCACTCATCTGAAATCCAGACTGAGATTTTAGCAGGTGAAAACACTTAGTTCCCTCTCAAATGTGAGGTTAAGGACTGCTGTGCAGAGCTTCTGGTTTGTATCTGGCCTGAAAGTGGTCATTAATCTTTAATATTTTTATACCACTCTTTTGGATAGTCCTTCTGTTTCTTGGCTTCTGCAGAACCACTACTCAGTGAACAGTTTCACCTGGCTGGAAAATAAATAGATTTTATTCAGGCACACAACTTTGTGCCTGAGATACTATGGCAATAAAGAGAATAATCAAATCCTGTACTGGGTGCACTTGTAATAAATTAAACCTTTTAAAAATGTACATTAATGACAAGCGAGCATCAAAATATCCGATGTTTTAGCTCGTATGTATTTTCCAAAGGGTAGACTTGCATCCCTCAGCCTCATCAGTCTGTAAAAATAGACTGGGGATTAGTTTATTTGTCAGTTCTGTCATATCTGTTGCCTGCTGGACTGGTGATATTTCAATTGGTTTAGTTTTGATTTTGCCATTTTTAAGACACCAAGAAGTTGATCTGATCCAAATAACTTTTGGGTCCCCAACTGAGACACAGCTGGGTTGGAAAAAGAAGTAATAATTCAGTAGCAGGAAAGTCTTCATGTTTTCTGTCCACTTTCTTTTTAGACAGTTTTATGAAAGCCTGTTCTTCCAGGCAAGCCTTATCACAGATCCCAAGGCAACGTTGCTTTCCAGACTGAGCACACCAGATTTCTTAGAAGGAGAAATTTCTAAGGAATATGTGACAGATAGGAATATACGATGGTGCGCTGCGGGAACAGATTCTATTGACACTCATTTTGGATGTTGTTACATATCTCATTTGTGGCTTCAGTACTTATGAATAATGTAGATCATCCTAAATTTATGCCAGTATATCAAATCTATATGCCGCACCTCTTGTCTTGTCAATTCATTCATCCTCGTGTATAAATAGAGTCTATAGAGGGGGCAACGTGGTGAAATGTGTCTTATCACCATGGATATGATAGGGCCATACTCATACAAATGACATATGCAGGTCATTGCTAACAAGCACCAATAAAACCTGTTGCACATGCTTTATTGAAAATCTAGTTAGGAGGGATTTTGCAGCGTTTTGGTTTGTTTTTTTTTAATAAATTGTTGGCACTGCGTTTCCACTCCCTCCAGTTATGGGACCAGATTCCCTCATTATTATAAATGTCACATTTACAGTTGTTGGTGACAGAAAATGTGGGTAACATGTTTCATATTTCGGCAACCATTCATGTAGTTGAATGTAGCTTGCTGGTTCGAAGCACACAGCAAATATCCAGTAGGAAGTTAGGAAATCTGTACTTCTCATTGCTGCTAAAGCCTGGCTTTAGACTCTAAAGGAGTGAAGAGTTTCAGTGTAAGGGTTTAGACAGATGTACTCTGGAGGAGCAGATCCTCCCCAGGGGAAGAGAGTGAAGGCTCCGTGACCAGCTCTTGCTTGGGATTTGTCAGCAGCAAGGAGGGAAGGCTGGCAGTGTCCCAGTGATAACCAGAAGTTGCTCTTTATGAGTGGAGTTGTTGTGTCTATCTCATCTTTGATCATCACACACATCATATGAGCATCATTTCAGTTGGAGATTTCAGGCCGTTTCCTTTCATTTGTGCTCCTGTGTCCTGGGATATGAGCTTCACTTCCCATGTGGTTTTATGGTCCGTCAAATTTTGGCTAGATAGTGATAGCATGGAGCGTGTGGGAGAGGCTGTCGCAGACATCTGAGCCCAGTAGCATGAACCATCATCTCTGTCCTTACCATAATGCTGCCCCAAACAACCTGCTGTCCTCCATCCCAGCCTTGCTCATTCCACCTCCACCTCTGAGCTCTGAGCACTCAGACTTTCCTCAGAACCTTGACTGTACCCCCTCCAGGTTTTTCACCACCCCTCCATCCAGTCTGCTTGTTTCCACCCTGCCTGCCAGCACATCTTCAGTCTTTCCTGTACTCTCCATCTGGTTCCTTTCTGTGTTGCTTCTTCCTTTCCCAGCCCAGCACTCTCCTCCTTTCTTCCAGACATCCTGAAAGCACCCGCGT